TAGCCTGGTGATGGGTATTAAAGAGGGCACGTTCTGCATGGAGCACTGGGTGTTATGCGCAAACAATGAATCATGGAACACTACATCAAAAACTAATGATGTAACGTATGGTGACTAACATAACAATAAAATTAAAAAAATGAATTTGTAAAAAAAGGGTTAAAGTAAATGAGGTCTCTACAACATTATACTTCAGGTATAGTTTTATTTGAGTGGAATTATTTCACATGTAGCAAGTGTTTCACTTACATTGTTTAACTTCAAAAATTATTAGTAAAACTAAAACCAAAAAAATTCCTCAAAACAATATTATATACACACATACGTAAGATCTTTAGACTTTAAGAAATCTCTAAAATTGGTTAGATTTGTTTGTGTGTTTGATATTCTTCAACAGTCCCTAAGTCAATTTTGACATTAGGAAACAAGCAGAAATAGTTTTGATCTGATTTTTAGAATGTACTTTTAAAAATGGTGGCCTCAAGATGGAGGGAAAAAAAAGTAGAACTTTTCTTATATAGGGAAATACTAGGAATAATGGGTAATTCCCAGTATCAAAAACCAGAATTCTTTCTAAGCCATGTGTGCCATAGAATTTGGGGATCTAGAGCCATTGTAATCATAGTTCTTCTAGGAGTCAGAATAGTCTGTCAACAGCCAATTTAGCTATCGGGACAGTGACAGAATCTCAGGTATATAGATTTATTTAAATATCTTTATCTTTTTGTGAAATATCTTAGTTAAATATATAGAAATTCCTTCCATTTATTTTATTAATCTTTGTTAGACTGGAAGTCTTTAGTTTTTCTCTTTTCTGTATAAGTCAATAAAAGCAATTCCCATATTTCCAAGGAAACAGAAAACATCTATTCCAAGCCAGTCTTTGCACCATATTTATTTGTAGCCTTATATCTGACAGAGGGTAGAATAGTGGTCTCTTATTTTCCTTTGTACTTTTTATTCACTTAAAATTCCTTATGAACTATAACATAGGTTAAATTCTCTTTAAATATTTTTGTTTTATAGGAAGTGGTATGGTTTAATAGAAATACATAGAACTTAAAGTAAGAAGAATTAGGTTTCTTTCTTGAGCAGTTTATCTGCATGAGCTTGGGCAAGTTGTTTTAACCTAATTCTTAACTTTTCTTGATGGTAAATTTGAAATTAATGATAGTTGTTTCCACCTTTGCTTCAGGGCTTTTTGAGCAAGTATCAAATGATATGTTTGTAAAAGTATTTTTAAACTGTGAACTATGCAGAATTGGCGGTGGGATTATGAGCATATTAAAATCTTTTTTACTGAAAAGAGTAAGACAAATTTCATTTACTAAAATGTTTTCCTTCTAGTTAGTGGGGTCTTACAGAGTGGCATCTACTGTCTATATCTAATATAAATAGATACAACAATTAAATGATCCCTGCTTACTGAACATAAACTAGCTTTTGCACAGTATTATTTTTTAAAGAAAGTAAATACAATGATCTTACATTCTTTTGTGGAAAAATACCTTTTGGCTCATATCATGATATTTTCTCAAAGTATTTTAAGTGTATTAAGATAAAATTTTAGTATTTTAACTAACATTAACTGAAACAGAAAGCTTTACAGGAATTAACACTGATAGATTCATATTCATATTTTGTCAGAGATAATGAACACTTTCTTTTTCATACACAATCACCCTGCTAGTCCATTAGTATTGTAGTGTTAAAGGTTAGCATGAATTACTAATGATCGCATCTTTCTAGTTCTTCATTTAGTTAATAATCCTTGGAATTACAGAAAAACAATGTGTGTTTGTGTTTGTTCTATGCATACCACAATAGTCTACATAGTTTCAAAAAGAGACCAGTATAAATGACTGTGAGTTTGCCATCTTTCAAATTACATTCATACTGCTTCACTATTAGGGAAAAATAGTAGACAATCTTGGCCCATTGAAAGAGTCACTTTAGGGATTCTTTTTAAGAGAAGTGGAAACACTTAGAATGATTTTTTTGTTAATGCTGGGATTTTTTGTTTTTTTCTAAGTATCTACAAGAATTGGGTGATCCGGATAGTTTTTATTTTGATAAATAAAATTTAGTTCTTTCTACTTTAGTTTGGTCTCTAAATAATTTCTATGGATGAAACTTCAGTCTGCTTTTAATATTTACATATTTACCCATTTAATTTTTTAGGCGATTTTATGAAGATGGAGCAATTGTCTTGGGTGAGGAAGCAAATATGCTTGCTGGCATGCTGCTTGGACTAAATGCTATTGATTTCAGGTACTTAATCTAAGTGTATTCAGTTTTTAAGTTATACGACCTCATAATAGTTTCTACTTAGGTTTTTTTTCTTGGTTTGCTAATAAGTAAAGCACATGGCTGGATATTGATATTGGATTCATGTTGTTCCCTATCCATCGACATCGGCTTTCTGAGTTTGCTCTCAGAAAAGAGGCTGTCTCAGGTTAAGGAATTAACTGACATGTTTGCTCTCTAGCTTGGGCAAAACAATTTGAGACTGCATTTCCCCAGCAGAAAAATTATATATCCTGGTAGCACTGGAAGAAATTTTTGGATCTTATCTCTTAGTATTTTTAGCTCCTGCTTTAAAATAAAAAGAGATGCACTAAAAGTAGATTCAAAGCCAGAAAGATTTTTATTATCTCATGTATTGAAATAAAAAAGATCCTGGCATATATTGGGTATCTTATGTTTGTATTATATATCTAGACCAGCAAAAATATGGTTAACATTTGCTTTTATTATCAACAAGATGAATTGATTTCAGACTAAGGTTATAAGTACTAAAAATGAAAATGTAAGTTTTTCATAGATTTATAAAAGTATCTTTTTGCATTTCTTTAATTGATCCAAGATTTTACATTATGCTAAAAGTAAAAGGTTTGGGCGCCTGGGTGGCTCAGTCGTTAAGCGTTTGCCTTTGGCTCAGGTCATGATCCCGGGATCCTGGGATGGAGCCCCGCATCGGGCTCCCTGCTCAGTGGGGAGACTGCTTCTCCCTCTCCCACTCCCCCTGCTTGTGTTCCCTCTCTGGCTGTGTCTCTCTCTGTCAGATAAATAAATAAAATCTTAAAAAAAAAAAAAAGTAAAAGGTTTGTTTATAACAAGAACTCAAACATAAGAATGATGGAAATATTAAAATTTTTTTGAAAAATATCACTTAAAAATCCAAGAATATCAACAAAATAAGTATAAAACTTAAATGAAAATCTGTTAGATCTTGAATCAAAAAATAATGCTGCTCATTTCCACTGAGGTTACCATTTTTTAGTATATCACTTCCTTTTCAAAATATTTTCATTTTGTCAGTATAATTTTCCTCTAAGATTTAATAAAGTATTCAGTTATTAGCTGAATTATTCAGAATATGAATATGATAGATGCAATATGGAGGTTGTTTTTTTTTATCCTTCTATGTGTGTTAATTTTTCACTTGTCATGCTGCTGTGAAAGCAAATGTCTTAAAGATAACATTAGTAATAGTTTTGTAAATGAAGGAAAGCTCTTATCAAGTGTGGCCACTTTTGTTCACTCCTTATTCAAGTATGAAAAAGTATGTACATACCCTTGATATTAACATATTAGAATGGTATTTCAAGAGGCAAACTTCCCAAAGAAACCAGAAGGTGGGAGTTCATAGATGAATTTGTTTTTTAAAAGATAACCTACATCTTGTAAATGTTCTTGTTTATGTTCCTAGAAGATGTACTTTTTTCTTTTAATAATAGTAATAATAAAACTAAGCGTCTTTTTTTTTATTATCCAATTGGATATACTATCATACAAAACAAAGATGACTAGATTGGGAGACCAGGAGATCTAGAGTTTCTTTACTGGCTTTATGAGACTCCCAGTATGACTTTGGGCAAATCTCAACCTTTTCCTGTTGCCATGGCCTCAAAAAGGATTGACTAAAGATTAAAAGGGAGTTTTTTTAGCATTCTTCTTAGGTCTAAGATCCAAGCCCTTTCACTTATTCAAATAGTTTAGAAAAACTTTCATTTTCTAAAGAGTCAGAACTTTTAAGGAGTTAGTCAATGTCACATAAGAGTTTGTATGAAAATGTGAACAAGTCTTCATTTGAAAATCCTCTAGTAATGTCTTAAAATCCAGTGAAGACCAAGGTAGTGTCCGATAAATGATGTCTGAACAGATTTCTCAGAAAGTTTTTCTTTTGCATGATATATTCATATTAGAGGGTATTAACTTGTGCAATCCTTTGTCATTGGTAGTGAAAGTAGAGTATCTTTATTGAGGTGTTCATTTGTAACAAGTAATGTATGAATTAAATATGAATAAAATATAAATAAAAAAATTTACCTGCAATTTGATGAAAGAAATGTCTCTAACAAGAGATTGTTTATAACACTTGGCATCAATTTAAAAGTTTATGTATTATGTGACATATTTATTGTCTCTTGTCTTAGCTTCTGCCTCAAGGGAGAAGGATTGGATGGAAACTTTCCTGCCGTAATAGACTACACACCATATTTGAAGTTTACCCAAAGGTATTTGACGTTTTGAAATATGTTATTGAAATCTTAATTTATAGTTGAATATCATGTGTAATATATTCATCTGATTAAAACTGTTTTTATTTCAGTGTCAGAAATCATTCAAAAATACAAACTCAATTTGCATTTTTAGTGTTTATGTAAATACACTTTTTGTCTAATTGTAATTCCAGCATAAATATAGTTTTTAGAAAACAGCATGTATTTCTATTGCTATAGTCATTATAATGATAACTTTAGTAGCCCTATTATAGTCCATTGAGAGTTCAAAACTGAAATCCATCATTCAGATTGTTCTCCAATTTCTTTCCATTATGAAGGAAAGAATAATGAACATTTTGTGCAAATCAATTTTCTTTTTGTTTTTGCTGTGAATTTACAATTACTCAGGCAAATACAATGAAAAATTTTATGGCCCTTAAAGTGCGTCGGTATAAAAGAGTTGTACCAATTTATCCTACTACCAGAATTGTGTGAGAGTTAAGAATTTCCTACAATCTCATCAGCATTGAAAATTAATCAGATGAAATCTATGGATTTTTTTGAAATTCTCCTTGCATAATTGGTTTCCTGAATAGAATGATCGTCTTCATATATTTTAAAAATGTTATGGTAAGGTCAGAGCTGTAAGGGAAACAGAGAGAAATATATGTATATGTGTAATATATGTACACACACACACTGAAGATGCATTTATTGAGGACCTAATGTAAGAAAGAAACTTTCCTCACTGCCAGGGATACATAGATTTCAAGAGTGTAGGTGCTTCATGAAATTCTGAGAAGAAGTATAGTCCTTGTCTCTAGGGTGAGAGAAGTCACTATTGGAGAGATAAGACTGTGAAGATACTTCAGGTAGTGAGGGAGAAGTAACACAGTATTATGCTACCAAGATTTCTAACTTGAGTAAATGGATCACTTGGGAAAAGGGATAATTCTAGTACATTAGATATATAAAAAAATTACGGCAAGAATTTTTGAACAGGCATAAAATTACACTGTTTGGGATGTATTGGATTATAGGACATTTTATGAAGGTAACAAATAGTTCAAAAATAATACTAGTAAAAAGAATAGTGAGAATACTTATTGAATGCTTCCTATATATCAGGCATTGTTCAAAGTGCTTTCCTTCTATTAAGTCATTTAATCCTCAAAAGCCGGTGACATAGGCACCACTATTTTAATTTTACAAATGAAAACACTGAAATGCAGAGCAGTTAAATAACTTGTCCATAGTCATACAGCTAGTTTGTGTGGAGTGTGCCACAGGCCTGGAATTACAGAGCAAGATGACAGCTGGACATTAGGGGTTTGGCCATTAACATGTAGGTGGAAAGGCTGTTTTTAGTGATTTAGGAAGGGACTTAAATTAAAATATAAAGATAAATGTGAATACTAATTTTTCTCTCCTACTTATATAAGAGTCTGTATTAATTATTACAACACTTTACAGTAATGGAACCTTCTCAACTGGTCCCCTTAGAATGAATTTGATGATACATGCTCTGTGTCTCCAACTTGCTTAACCACTTTTTATACAACTTCCTCTTTCTCTGATGCACTAATCCAAACATGTATGTATAGCTTCCTCTCCTTTATACGCTGAGGGATTTCTCCTATCTTATAAAAAGAACAATAAAATGAGAAGGGAAATATCAGTTCAACCTAGTCATAAGCACGTTTGCATTACTGACCATGGAGATCTTCTTTTTAGAAAGATTTAAACTATCCTGATTGTCATAAAGAACCAGTATTTTAAACAGTCAGTTGCTTCCATGAAATATGCCTGTATTAGACACATTTTAAAAAGCTTTATTGGGTTTTAATTTTAAGAAACTGTAAAAGTCTATCCCTAACAAAATTTCTGCTTTTAATTTATTTGGAAAGTAATATGTATTAATTATAGAAAAATTAGAAAATAAAGACAGGTAGATAGAAGAAAGTTTAAGTCACTCATAATCTTACCTTTAAGAAGCAGCTGCTAGAAGCATTAACATTTTGATGGGTAGCTTTCCGGCATTTTCTATGCATAGATATATTTTTTCTTTAATTAAAATGGAATCGTAATGTACATGTAATACTTATTTCCCTTAATACTGTATAATGGACATTTTTGCATGTCATTATCCTTCCACAGCCTCATTTCCCTAAATGAATTTAATTTAATTATCTGTATAACGTGTTTACCCAATTATTGTTGGACCTTTAGGATGCATTCAGTTAGTTGTTCGCTGTCACATGCACTATTGCAGTTAATAACCTTGTAACTACATCTTTTTATACAGACCATGATTATTTCTTTAAGTTAAACTCCTGGAAGTAAAATTTCTTGAATAAACCATATATATTATTTACTAAAGCTTTTGAAATATGCTGTCAAATTGCCCTCCAGAGCGGCCATACTAGTTTAGTTTCTATAGGCAACCTGAGAGATTGCCTCCTTACCCCCATTGCCAACTAAGTATTAAAAGTGTGGCCAGTTCTTTAAGTGAAAAATGATATCCTATTGGGTTTTTTTCCGATTGTTTTAATTTGCATTTATCTGATTACTGGTGCCACTGAACTTTTAAAAAGGTTTATTAGACAGGGCGCCTGGGTGGCTCAGTTGGTTGAGCGGCTGCCTTCGGCTCAGGTCATGATCCTGGAGTCCCGGGATCGAGTCCCGCATCGGGCTCCCTGCTTGGCAGGGAGTCTGCTTCTCCCTCTGACCCTCCTCCCTCTCATGCTCTCTGTATCTCATTCTCTCTGTCTCAAATAAATAAATAAAATCTTTAAAAAAAAAAATGTTTATTAGACATTAGTCTTTTTAAATGATTGGAGTGTTACCTTTCAAAGTTAAATATATGAAATATGTTAATAGAAGACATCCTAAAATATATTTCATATTTAAAACTGGTTTTTAGTTTTAGGTTTGTACCAGTGAGATGAAACTCAGTTTTTCTGATATACATCTTGATATAACTTTAAACATTTTTTCTTGAATGGATTTTAGGCCTGAAAAGTCCAGTAGCTAGTTATTGTTGGTCTCTTATGATGCCTTCAGTATTTTGCTTTTAAATATAATGTTGTCATAAGCATTCTTATAGCTAAGTCTTTGTACTGTTAGGATTATTTCCTTAATGAGGCAAATTTCTACAAACAAAATGGCTGATTTAAAGAGACTGTCAAGTCCTGTATGTTATTAAATTGCCCTTCTTAGACATTCTGTCCCCTACAGTCTGCCTTTCCTTCGCTTCTTGTAGGGATAAAATAATCCTTTTGCTGTGGAAGACCAGTCCTTTGACCTGTACACTACATCCCATCTTCTCTCTTATGTTAAGGTCTTCATCCCAATAGTTGTCCTCTTCCATTTATTTTCCCTCTTTTCTAGATCTTCCCACACATCACAGCATACAAGCAGTGTTATTTTCCCCATGTTAAAAAACAAAACAGAAACTTTCCACATAGTCACTATGAGCTACTTTTCAGTCACCTCTCCTTTATTATAAAACTGTGTCTCCAGGTTTTTTTTGTTTTTTGTTTTTTTGCCTCCATTCTCCCTTGCACTATTCAAATTGAGCTTTAGTACTTACCCCGGAAAGTGCTGTTGTCAAAGTCAGCAGTGATGTCTCATTGCCAAATCCAGTGGTTAATCGTTTCCTCATCTGTCTGGACCTTTGAGCAGTTTGATACACGTGATTGCTCTCTTCAGCACTTCTCCAGTTTCCCTCCTGTTGGCTCCTCCTTACTTCCTGTCCCCATTTCTCCTCATCTCCCCAACCTCTGAATGTTAGACTGTTTCAGAGATCATTCCCAAATAATCTTTTCTGTGTGTAGTCACTCTCTAAGTAGTTTGATCCAGTTGTATGGTTCTAAATATTATCTTTATGCTACTCTTTCCCAAATGTATACTTCTACCTGGAACACTGCCCTAAACTCTAGACATCTAGCTGCCAACTTGCCATCTCCACTTGAATGTGTGGTAAGCACCTCGAATGAGCATGCACGAAGTTGAACTCCTAATTTCTCTCCTCCCAACTTTTCTTCCTTTAGCCTTTCCCATTCCAAGAATTGTAGTTCTGTCATTCTGGCTGCTTATGCTCAAAACTTTGATATCATCATTGAATTTTCTCTGCCATAATCCACATAGGATCCATCAGCAAACCCTTTGGCACCATCACTTTTACCTCCTTAAATTAAGATCCATTATTTCTTCTTTGTCTATCTTTGTTAAAAATAAATGTTTAATTATTAGAAGTAAAGGAATAAAGAAGGTGAGTGATTATAATTCTTACTTATCAGCAATTATAAATAATAAAGCATTATAAAGATTTTTGGTAAAATAAATTATTTTTCCTTTTATATCACTGATATTTCCTTCACTGTCTCAGTAAAAATTCTAAAACCATTTTGCTCTTTAAAATATAGGAATGTTTCTGAAATTCTTAAGTATCATTTTCCCACCAAAAATGTTTGCAGAATTTCTATGTCTTTTAGAATAAGAGATACTTTTATGAGTATCAACTTTTATAACTGTGCATAGGATAAAATAAGTTTTAGCAAAACATATAGACCATTCGTGACCTGGCATCAGTTTACCTTCTTAGCCATATTATTTGTCTACCATCCATTCAGCTTTTTTTGAACAGCTATAGGATTATTGGTCATTGAAATGTTCAGAGGCAATGTAATATTGTTTAAAAACTTTGTAATGTAATACCAGTTTCCCTTATAGGGTGACCTTGAGCAAACTAATTATCTCTTATTCTTACTATCTTCCTTTGTTGGATGAATCTGTTAAGTAGTAGAGCAACAATTCATGGGGTTATCATGAGGATTAATGAGATAATGTATATGAAGTGTTTATATAGTTCCTTGGAGTCACTGTGGAAAATTATTTATTTTCTTTCTTGTCCTTTCAAGGAACTTACTATCAGTCTTCCCTTTCTACTCTTTGAAGTTTTAAAAAATTACTAACTTAATTTCATTGGTAATCATATAATCATTCTGATT